TGTGTTTGAAAATAGCAAGGATGTTTTTGCAAGTTTTGATCAAGTAACTAAGAGTCGTCTACCCTATTTTACTCAAAGATCTTTCCTACACATTTTTAACCCTTTTGACAGTGTTGTTTTACCATTGCATTTGGTAAACAACCTTGTGTTTGGATGTTAAACGGGACAGGCGCGGGTCATCGCATACAATCATTGAAAGCAACTTGTGAGACGCTCTAGCAATTTTGTAAGGGGCGAGATCGTTTTATCGAAGGCAACATCGAGGGTCATTGAGGGACTACGATCTTTGTTTATCGAAGGGTCATTTGCTAGAGTGTCGTATATTCGAGGGACATGATTGTATTTCCGAGGCAACAAGCGAGGTTACCCTAGAGGTGCACGTGTGAAAAGTGTATTGATTTCAAGTTGTTTATTCTTGGACTAGGTCATCTAGCGATTGATTTTTGAATCTTGCCATACACGCCTAATTACTACACAGTATATTGAAAGCAATAAATTACGGGAATTAAAAGTCTAAGCTATTACAAAAGTATCCGGGAATGGGGGTACAAATATTACAAATGGGGATGAATCTCATAAGAATAGCAAAGTCCAAATATTACAACCAAATCGAATTGTTGTGATTCAATATAAAGCTATAACAAATGAAGAAATCAATAAAGTACGAAATGCATGTATTTACTTGAAAATAAATAAATAAAATCTATTCTAAAAAAGAAAGATTAAATATTTTATTATTATTATTCTTTGTATTTTATTAATCTTAAAACGAAAAGTTTAAAGAAAGAAAATTTAAACAAAATATTTATTATTCTTTTGGTATTTTCATTAAGTGTGAGAAAAATAATAGAAAAATGAAAATGATTAAAATAAAACTAATTAAGAAAAATCGAGTTTATTTTACAAAAATGAAATTTTAATATATTATTAGTATATTATTAACACAAGAAAAATAAAGAAAAGGTAAATTAAAATAGATTGAAATAAAAACAATTTAAAAAATGGGCTTAGAGGTCTAAAAGATGTCAGGCCCAAATAAAAGGAACTTTGTTTGCTGCATGTGAAACAAGCCCAAAGGGGAGGGGGCGCTAGCAAATTATTTATGGGCTTTGTGGTTTGAGGGGCGGATAGGCCTAACTCTTAAATTAATGCTGCTGAAAGGAAAAGAGAAACAAGGTAGAGGGTGAAACAACCGGCTGAAAATCATCAAAACAATGAAGTCGCCATCGAACGTCTTTTATCCCACATGAAGGGAAAGGTAAACATCGAGAAAACCCGAGAAGGATGAAATCAAGGTCGAACGACCAAGAGATAAGGGTAAGGGAGTCTGTTACGCGAGGGGAAGGTATTAGCACCCCACACGCCCGTAGTACTCTACGGTATCCACTCTTGTTGTCTATCTTATGGGTGTGTTCAATCTATGCTTACTGTCTACTATACTGCTGGAGGAATGCATGCAAAAGAAAGGGGAAAAAGAATGTAGGAAAAATAAAATTGTGCTCGTTCGGGCCCTACCCCAATGCCTACGTATCCCTTTTAAGGAATCAGAGCAGCCGTAGTTCGGCTTATATGTTTTTGTTTGTTTGTATTTTCTTTAACGAACAGTATTAATCTCGCCTTCTGCCGCAACTCGACCTTTGGAGATTTACGCGTCAGCACAGAAGTGAATTAATACGCTCTTTTGAAAAGGGTTTGAAAGAAAGGCCCGAGGGCAAAAAGATTTTTATGTTTGGTGGTGTTTTTGCTTGTAGATAATAGCTAGTTAACCTCAAGAGAGAGATTTTAGCCATTTCTCTATTTATTCATGAAATGAGTCTTTGAGACTTGAATCATACCAAAGCTTAGAACAAGAGAATAATAATGTCGAGAAGAAACCCGCTCATCATCTCTCAAACTTAGCCAAGACATGGTTTCTGTCAGTAAATTTTTATGTATTTTTGAAGTTTGTAAAAAAAAAGTTTTTTGTTTTAACTGCATATGCAAAGGAGGAAAGAAGGTCACAGGAAGACAAAAGTCACAGGAAGACGAAAGTCACAGGAAGACGAAAGTCACAGGAAGACGAAAGTCACAGGAAGACGAAAGTCACAGGAAGACGAAAATCACAGGAAGACGAAAGTCACAGGAAGACGAAAGTCACGGGAAGACGAAAGTCACAGGAAGACAAAAGTCACCGGAAGAAGAAAGTCACAGGAAGACGAAGGTCACAGGAAGACGAAAGTCACAGGAAGACGAAAGTCACAGGAAGACGAAAGTCACAGGAAGACGAAAGTCACAGGAAGACGAAAGTCACAGGAAGACGAAAGTAACAGGAAGACGAAAGTCACAGGAAGACGAAAGTCACAGGAAGACGAAATTCACAGGAAGACTAGCCTATTTCTAGATCTAATGTTATCGTGTATTAGACCTAAAGTTAGAATCTTGAGGGAATTCTACCTAGAAAGTAGTAAAGTGCAGGAGTAAAAATAGAGTTGTGACGATACCGAACGGAGAAGGTCTGTCGCCTCTTCATAACCATGCAAGCCGAAAGAGAATCCTATCAAAGCTTCCTTGAGCGAATGATTGAAAATTATGCTCTTAGCTAGCTTTGAAACTTCATGAAACTCCTCACTCAAGTCTCTTTTATTTACCAATATTGCCAAAAAAAATAAATCTCCAAAATTAATCGCAATCGAAATGAGTATGGGAAATAAGATCTCAGGAGGTGCGAACTAAATTCACTATGTGCTGCAAAAAATACAATGACATTAGGCCCCATCAAAAATGGACACAATCAGCAAGAAAATAAAAATAATCATGGTCCAAGAATTGACTAGTTTGGCCCATACTAATCATTCTTAATTTTATTATTAATCATATTATTGTATTTATTTGTTGAATTAATAATAAAAGAATAAACATGTAATAGAAATACTGGTTCAGAAAGAAAAATAAAACAAAAAAACAATTAAAACTAAAATAAAAAAATATAGGAAAGTTGAGAAAGGGGTTAGGGTAAAAGAGGGAGGTGTTCTCTTCTTCTCCACTTGAGAACAGCAGCGGCACCGTCGGCCTTCGCCTGAGTTGCTTTGTCTTCTTCTGATTCGTTTCGTCTCAACATTTTTTTGAGCTCGCTTTGTCCGGCTCACTCATCTTAACTGCTTCTTCGATTCGTTAATAAGCATCAAGCGCCTCACACCATAATAAAACACACGGCCTCCGCTTTATCTCTCTCGCCTCCACCTTGCTTGTATCAAATCTACTCTCAAACACTTACGATCTAACAAGACTTCACGAAAGGCAAATTGGAATTGAAGCGATTCTCGGGCGAACTCATGCCATGTGTTCAAATTCGAGACTCAACGAGTTAAAACGCAAGATGCAGTAATAAATCCGATGCAAAAAAGTGAAGATACGAAGCTTACCGACGAGAGTTCATCCAGCGCGTCCAAGATAACTCAGGTAAATCTTTCACTATATTCTTCTTATATCTTATTTTTTATGAGGTTCTGAGTTTTCTGGTTATGTATGCTTCTTCTTCTACCTTTCTGTGTTGTCGTGTGTCCATGAATAACATGAAAATGGAGTTGCAGTGGTTCACGTAGAAGCGGAGGAAGATCAAAGAAGGTGATGACGAAGAGTGTGTGAGGATGCGATTGAGGGACAGTTATGGAGAAAGGATCCAAGAAGATTGCAGAGAGATAGAGATATTTGTTCAGGTGTTTTTATTGATTCTTTTGGAAGTTGAAGAATGAGGATGAAGATAAGATGAGATGAGAGAGCTTTTCCTGGTTTTTGTGGTGATTCTTCTGCCCTTTCCAGAATGAGATGATTGAGAGGTAAATCATTCTTTTTTTCTGTTTTCAATCTCCTCCTCCTCTTCTGTCAATCCCAATTATGTATATATGCTGGAAGTTTTGTTGTAAAATAAGCCATGAGTTGGTTATGTGGTTAGAAGGTTTGAGAGTTTGTTATGAATTTGTTACTGAATGTTAGGTATGATGTAACTGTTTTTGGGTTAGTTAAGTTGGTTAATTGAGATATGGTTTTGGCTAGGAAGTTATGGTTAGAAAATTCTGTTAGGGAATTTAGTTGGGGAATAGGTTGTAAGAAAGCTGGAAATTTGTTGTTTAGAAATTCTACTTTGGAAATTGGTTAAGAAACAGTTAGGAATCTGTGAATTAGAAAGGTTGGTTGAAATTGTGTTAGTTATAAGTTAGAAGTCCTGTTTGGAATTGGTTGGAGTTAGAGGAGTTAGGCTGTTAGAGGAAGTTGTGTTACGGTAGTTAAGAGATGAGCTGAAAAATCGGTTAGAGGGGAGGTTATGTGTTAGTTTTGGAATGAAGAGTAGCTAGGATACTGTTTAGTTATTTTTCTGTTGGACAGTTAGGGAATATGACAGTTTAGTAGCAAATTAGTTAGAAAATCTATTGTGAAAGGAGGTTAATGGATTTAGCTAAGTTTGTTGAAGGCAATTTTGTTATTAAGAGGTAATATGCTATGTGAAGAAGTTAGTAGTTGAACGAAAACGTTAGTTGGAATTGGTTAATTTCAGTTAGGAGTGGTTATTGAAGTTAGTTAGAGTTGAGATTTTTTTTGAAACTGAAATTCAGTTATGTGACCTTGAAATGAGCTGGCATTATTTGTTAGTTTGTAATTCGGTTTCTGATTCCATCATTTATATTTGCAGCATGCAGAGCAGCACCAAGAACTATTGCTTCATCAGCCTCATGATTTTGTATGCAAATATATGGAAGTCATCTTCAAGTCTCCGATTCATGTGCTTCCTTTGCTATCATGTCACTCAGTTTGTCACGGCGAACTCATTGCGGAGTTGAAATTGATCTTCAACCTTCTGTGTAATTTTCTCAGCTACACGTATTGACTGTAAATGCCTATCAACTAACTCAGTTGCTTTTGAAAACCTCAATTTAGGGCCAACTGAATCTAACATAGATAGTTGTTCTTCAAAACTTATCTCAAAACTTGCAACAAATATATCAACTAACTTGTGAACAGGAACGTTATCCAAAAGGACTTTGGTTCTTCCACCGCTTTTTTTGTTTCTGCTCCAGAACATAAATAAGCTCCGTTGCTATTTCTTTGAATTGGCGAGACAACATTATGTAATCTGGGTCTTGCTCTATTTGCTCCATCTCAGTCATAGTCATCTCAAGGGAAGATATCTTTGCAGTCTGGTATATTCCTCGTGTGCTTAGTTCCAAGACACTAAATCTACACAAACCTTCAACAATGGTATATGTGACCCTTCCACTTGGTTTCTCCACTCCCCTTGATAAATGTAATGGTCGGGCAGCAACCCCCTGTTGTGCCAATGAACAACGCCGTTCTGCTTTTTGGTATCAGGCTTGAGAGAATCTGATGAACCGTCCTGAAGTTTTGAACTTTGCTCTAGAGTATTGGCTCCTGCACCTTGAGATGCAGTGGAACCCGCTGCCTTAATTTCAAGAGCATCATGTACAGGCAGGATACCAATCATCCCTTTCTCTTCTTTCTGCCAAAGTTCTTGTTCCACCAACTTCACACTGCTAGGGGAAGTGCAACGGATTCTGATGATAGCGCCAGGTAAGAGGACCTTGTTTCTGAACGGAAGGATCGCCAAGCGACTCGGAAGCTCGACCGATTCGGCCATGTTGGGAACTCGGTGTGGAATCAAAATGGAAACCCTTGTTTGTGAAAGAAAGGAATGAACGACGTGAAGGTTGGAGCTACGAGGAGGAATAAATATTGAGAAAAGAAGCTAATTCGAAAGAGACGAATTGAGCGGAACTAACTGTCATCGTTTTCTTTTCTTTGTAGAATATTGGTGTAATGGGATTGTAATGATTTTATAATGAATGTTTGATTTGGATGAACTTGAAATTTATAGTGTGAATTGTAAATGACCTTTGAACTTGAAATGTTGGGTGATGGATTTTTTTGGACGGAGTTTAAATGACAAAGTCTTGAAAAAATGCTTGAAGATATGAAAGCATCAAATTTTCTTGTGGGGTGTTGTTACAATTGAATGAAATTGAATGGAATTGGATAGTATTTTCTTGAACCATGAATGAGAATGAAATTGAATGGAATTGGATAGTATTTTCTTGAATAAATGTTTGAACGCATTGTGAACTTGAATCTGAAATAACGGTGAACATCTTTGTAATGCGTATGAACTCTGACTTGAAACAAAACCTCGCAGTCTGCACTTTACCTTCCAAGAAAGCCATATGAACAATACTTAAGACTCTTTGCCGACTTTAATACAGTCAAACACTTTCGAACATCTTGAATTTAAATCAAACTTCAAATCCAAATCACACTTGCATTCTCAATGAACTCCTAACTTCAATCTTGAATCCCAAACCAACTTGAATAGCCAATGGGATCTTAATCCTAAAAATCCACAACCTCGCCCTTTTTGCATCATGCCTCATCCTACGATTCAATCCACAAGTCTCTTATCTCGACGAGGTCCTTCTCTAATTGACGACCTTTAATCATCACAGGTGTACACAAATGATAATGAAAGAACATGATCGAGATTAACATGAAACCTTATTTCCCCTGATCTTTAATTACTTGAACATTTATCAATGAATAGAAACCCTGATTTTTAATGAAATCTTCCTTTTCTGAACCAATATTTCTTTTCCTTTACCATACTATTCTTCAAATGCAACTCGAATTCCCAACACATATTAGATGAAAATTCAAGGGAGACCTTGGCCCCAAAGTTAATTGTTCAAAGCTTACTTTAACCGAAGTAAACAGATCTTATCCACATATCTTTGAAATTGACCCATGATTATGCATCTCAAGGTCTCATAAGAGCTTGTAAGCCCATCAACCAGGTATGCCATGTTGAACAAACCCTGCCTTGAATGCCTTGAACCTTGAATTACCTTGCATGAATTCTTCTATGGGAAACCTACTTCAATCTAAACCTACTCACATCGTAGATAACAAATGACAATGATAAGGACAATGATTGCCTTGGTTAAGGAGAAATCTATGAATTCATATCTTAGGTCATGAACCACGCTTCACAATTCAATCCTCAGCCCTTAGCGATCGGTTATTTCAACTTGAGATTAATGTCATAAGGAACATCTTACAGATGGAGGATAAAGTCTGAATCACAGAAGAATTCCCTTGATGTGAAACCCTCACAATCTTGATTCCTCGTTCAGACTCACAGAGAAATATCCGGATAAAACATCTTTGAACCATGATTCAACAAAACCTAATTTGCTTAACTGAGGAGTAGACGATTGTCATGTCACAGTCATTAATCCTAATCAAATGACAAGCATATTCATAGGAAAGGACGTCATGATTCGAAGCCCACATATGCTAGGTCACATCCTAGAGTTCTTGACCAGAATGACCTACAATCGGTTGTTCATCAGAAGATAATAGCCTTGCTGCTTGAGGGAGAAGAAGTCCTTTATTGGACATGAGCGCCTTAACCACCATGAAACCCTAGTATCGCACAACCACTGAACTTTGAACCTCAGAGCTATATTGAATGAAATGTATGCCATGTTAGTGACCTAATGAAAAAGATGCAGATGAATGCAAAAGTCTAAGCCAAAATAAAGGAAATTAGGAGGGCAAATTTTGGGGTGCAACAGCTGCCCCTATTTAATCGTCTTCAACCTGAAGGTGAGATTGGCGCCAGCCTTTCAAACTTTCAAGGTGGAAGAAGATTAAATACTTAAAAGGACCCAAAAATTAGCGCTCCGGAGTCAGTCAGGTATTATTATTTTTCTTTTTTCGGAATCTATTTTTATTATATTTTTTTTTCTTGCTAGGTAAAAGGGGTTATCAGGTTAGATGTATGTTCAACCAGGGTTTAACACACAGCGGAATAACTTGGTTATCAAGGAACATCTGTTGGGATTTAGTAACAAACACCTGTAAGAAAGTTATCAAAAGATATATGCCTGAAGCCTGTAGTAGACATACGAAAAAATATCAGAGACACATATCCGGGGTTGGTAGTGGATATACCGGAAAGAGACATCAAAAATACATATTTGTGGTCGGTATCAGACACGTAAGAAAGAGATAGAAAAGATACATATCCGTGGTCGGTATCGGATACGCACAAAAGATATAGAAAAGATACATATCCATGGTCGGTATCGGATACGCACAAAAGAGATATCAAAGACACATATCTGTGGTCGGTATCGGATACGTACGAAAGAGACGGACCGAAGAAAGCTCTTGCAAAGAAACACCAATCGAAGGCGAACTTACTGAGGAAGGAGACCAAACGAATGGGACTCCGGACAAATGATGTCAATCGAAGGTGGATTTAAAAGAAATGACACCATCCGAAGCGGGATTTTGACAAAAGATACCAGCCGAAGCGGGGTTTTGAAAGATACAGGTATGCATGTCTGGTCAGAGTTAGATACACAAGAGCGAAGTTGATCATCGAGAAACAAATGTTTAGAATTGCTAGCAAACACAGGAACAAGATTAACCGAAGAAAGCCCCAATAAAAAGGCGCATTCACCTAAATAAGGATGCTAGACAACTAGACTTTGAAGAGACACTGAAAGACTCTTAATCATAAAAGATTAGCTAGGCTAACGAAAGGAGGACCCGACTAACGTGGATAAACCAAAACAAGGAACCGACTAAGCAGGACCTTCAAAGAGCACCGATCGAATGTGTACTCTGCAAGAGAAAGGGACTGGTCCAAGCAGACTCTAACGAAGAAAAACATGTTAGGCTTTCGATAGGTTGCAAATACGCAAGAACTAAAAAATCCCTCAGGCCAAAGGCGGGGTATAATTCTTCAAGAGTGGCAATCATCTGAATTACCACACACCAAGTATGGACACTCAAATACTTGAGAAATAAGAAAGGCTATACGCCGACTCTTACTCGCACTCTAACGGCAAAGCGAACACGGGTAAAATAGCCAAAGGCTTGAAAGGGAAAGCGTAAACCACGATTTACTGGGGAATCCCATATGTGTTGAACTTAAACAGAACGCCGGTCGAAGGCGGTCTTGTGATCAGAAAAAAAAAGACCAACTGTAGGGACTCTAAACAAGGATTGCCAACATGCGTTGGGCTTTAAAAGTTTTGCAAATACGCAAGAACTACAAAATTCCTCAGGCCAAAGGCGGGGTGTAATTCTTCAAGAGTGGCAATCATCTAAATTACCACACACCAAGTATGGACACTCAAATACTTGAGAAATAAGAAAGGCTATACGCCGACTCTTACTCGCACTCTAACGGCAAAGCGAACACGGGTAAAATAACCAAAGGCTTGAAAGGGCAAGCGTAAACCACGATTTACTGGGGAACCCATATGTATTGAACTTAAACAGAACGCCGGTCGAAGGCGGTCTTGTGATCAGGAAAAAAAAGACCAACTGTAGGGACTCTAAACAAGGATTGCCAACATGCGTTGGGCTTTAAAAGTTTTGCAAATACGCAAGAACTACAAAATTCCTCAGGCCAAAGGCGGGGTGTAATTCTTCAAGAGTGGCAATTATCTGAATTACCACACACCAAGTATGGACACTCAAATACTTGAGAAATAAGAAAGGCTATACGCCGACTCTTACTCGCACTCTAACGGCAAAGTAAACACGGGTAAAATAACAAAAGGCTTGCAAAGGCAAGTGCAAACCACAAACTTACTGGGGAGATGGAGGAATGCCAAAGACCCGACTGATGGTGAATCAAAACAAACCCCGCTGGGGAAACATAATAGAGTCACCCTTAGGCTTGTTATGGAGATAAATCAAATCTGAGCGCATAACAATCTGGTTACCATAAGTGGACATAATTGGCTTATACTTATGCATGTTTGAATTTTTTTATAGCGTAATGCTCCATACAATAGAAATGCTACGCGTTTTAGTAGATGCGGTGTAATGATGCAATGTAATGATGCATGTTTAGTAATGCACTGGGGAGACCACGTCAATAATCGGATGTTGGGAAGACAATGAACTTTCAAATGTTTATTCTTGCACATCTAATCTTCTGTAGAGAACATGCAATATGAACTTCAGTAGGAAATCAAGATTTGAAACCATCAACCTCGAACGATTGATAACATTGAAGAAATAACTTCCTAGGTAGTAATACTGCAAAAAGTAAATTGCAGTTTGAGAGAAAATCTTGAATTCTGATCAAACTTCCAAATTCTTGGGGGATAGATACTTTATCTTCTGTTAGAACGGGGAGAGCTTCGCTGGGGATGGAAGCTTTCTCTTGCGCAGAACTTCTTTACGAAGATAGCTTCTACTGGGGAGTATATAAATTCTTAAATAAATAGAATTCTACTCAGACCACACTGGGGATAACAACGTCGGGGGATAAAAATCTTCACTTGGGGAAGAACCAAACATCCTAGGACAGAAACTCCACCGCTGACACCTCAACAAAATCTTTCATATTCCGGGATGAAGGAGTTAAAATTGGTGCTCCCATGTGCACCATACTGGGGAGAAGATGACACTTGTTCTAGAAAGCAAGCTCCACTAGGGAATGAAAACTCGCCTCACTGGGGAAAATACTGCAAAAATAAATTGCAGTTCAGGGAAATTTTCGAACTCTGATCCAACTCCCAACTTCTTAGGGAAAAATCCAACATCTCTTTACAAGGATAA